TCGCAACAGAAAAGACATGGAAAAAAAAACAGAAAAGAACAATATAAATAACAAGGCTGGTAGCAGTAACATCTGTCCATTACCATTCTCCCTTCCAGCATATGAAAAATCTCTAAAATCTGTTTTGAAAGTTCATAGGTATACATGAATAAGCTATCTCCTTATATGCCAGATTTGTTGCCAGGAAAATATATTTCTGTGATTTATTAACTATTTTCTTGTCTTGTGTTATTTATTTTTAGTCTAAAAAGCACTTAAGGGCAGAATCTCAATTTTTCTGGTTTTATTACACTCAGTATCAACAGCACCTACTTAGGCAAATAAACACTATTCAGAATCTGTATGAAAATGTCAAGCTTTCTAAAATATTTAAGAAACAATGGAGGACTAATAACATTCCAGTCTATTTTTTTAATATAAAGGTATAAATGCTCTAATGGAAATAAATTATAAATTTGTAATAAAGCAGCAATATGTGAATAAGGTCTGCGTTTTTTCTTATTATGTGCTCTTTGAATAGTGGTCTCTATGTAATACTCTAATTAAAAATTAAATTGCAATAAATGTCACCATTTTCATGTGGGCCAAAGTACTAAAACCTTCAAAAAACGTTTCATCTTACTTGACACACTGATACCTGCTTTATTAAACAGTTCATTCCAACAACATATCACACCCCATCTTTACGCAAAGGCATTCTTCAAATGGAGACAAGAGGCAAAGAATGTGGCAAGAGCAAGAAAGTGAAGCAAAAAGTTTTATTCCTGTTGTAAGGAGAAATAAGAAGAGTCTTCAGGTGAGAACTAGGGTTCTCTTTCCCTGCAGAAAAAAAATACAATTTTAGGACATTTAGATTTTAGAGCCAGAAAACAGCACCTGTTTCCACAACTCATCCTTCAAACCAGGCAGGTAACCCTAGCTCCCTTCCAAAATAGTCAGGTAATTGCTTAGAATTCAGATGTCAGAAACAAATCATAATATGCTAATAAGTAGGTGGCAGTATTTAGGAACACAAGTTATTTAAATCTTTTTTTTATTTTTTTAATGTTTATTTATTTTTGAGAAAATACAGAGAGACAGAGTGCAAACTGGGGAAGGGGTAGAGAGAGCGAGACACAGAATCTGAAGCAGGCTTCAGGCTCTGAGCTGTCAGCACAGAGCCCAACGTGGAGCTCAAACCCACGAGCCATGAGATCATGACCTGAGCTGAAGTCGGACGCTTAACTGAGCCACCCAGGAGCCCCTAAATCTTTTAATGTCTACTAGAATGGGGAAGAAGAAGTTCCCAAAAGTCATCCTTTCCTGCCTTGAAATTCCATCTTTTATCAAAGTTAATTCTACCCCTGATTCAAGTAAAACCACTATGTTCATACACCATATGTGTCAGTAGCACTCAACTGTACTTAGCACATGCTACTATATTTTTATTTTTTTTTTAACGTTTATTTATTTTTGAGACAGAGAGAGACAGAGCATGAATGGGGGAGGGTCAGAGAGAGGGAGACACAGAATCTGAAACAGGCTCCAGGCTCTTAGGTGTCAGCACAGAGCCCGACGCGGGGCTCAAACTCACAGACCATGAGATCATGACCTGAGCCGAAGTCGGAAGCTTAACCGACTGAGCCACTCAGGTGCCCCGATGCTACTATATTTTTAAGGGGAACGGGAGTTGGACATATATGCCTATATTCTCTTAAATATATTCCTTGCCTAAAGGACTGTTCTATCTTCTCAGTATGACCAATAATTGGCATAACTGAGTATAGACTCAAATATGTCACCCCATGCTCAAAATATTCAAAGTCTTCCCATGTTTATAAAGCACGAAACTCCTAAGCATAGCATTCAAAGCTCTCTGCAAGATAATTCATACATGAATTTCCAATCTTAACACATCTCTTCCACTGAATTTTCTTTTCTCTTATAATAAGCAACACATTCTGCTTATAGTTCCTTGTTTAAAACTCAAAGTAATCTCTACTGAACCGTAAGCTCCTCAAAGGAGGAAACTGGTCTGGGTTTGTCTCTTTTTCTCATGTGGGGAAAAAAAAACTGCCTTGTAATAAATGCTTATTAAAATGAAAATAATCTAGGGGTGCCTGGGTGGCTCAGTCGGTTAAGTGTCTGACTTCAGCTCAGGTCATGATCTCATGGTTCGTGAGTTCCATCCCGGCATCAGGCTCTGTGCTGACAGCTCAGAGCCTGGAGCATGCTTTGGATTCTGTGTCTCCCTCTCTCTCTATCCCTCCCCTGCTTGTATTCTGCACTCTGTCTCTCTAAAATAAAATAAACATTAAAAAAAATTTTAATGAAAATAATCTGCTCAGAGATTCCTTAAAAGAGTGGTGATTGGTTAAGCATTAAAAAAAAAAAAAAAACCTGATGGGGCTCCTGGGTGGCTCAGTCGGTTAAGCGTCTGACTTAAGCTCAGGTCATGATCTCATGGCTCATGGGTTCAGGCCCCACATCGGGCTCTGTCCTGACAGCTCAGAGCCTGGAGCCTACTTCAGATTCTGTGTCTCCCTCTCTCTCTTCCCCTACCCTGCTCGTGCTCTCTTTCTCTCAAAAATAAAATAAACATTAAAAATTTTTTAAAAAACAACACCTGAAGTCATTTTACCCTCCAGTATCTTCCTGTCTCTAAAATGAGATATTCAGTAAGCTGTGTCAGATGCACTATATATAGTCAGCCTTCGAAAGAAATATATTATTTCATATACTTAACAAACAAGTAACAGGGGCAGTCACTTTAATATGAAACATTCACTCTTGATTCTCTGTTTAGCACTCAGAACACACAATGAAAATGCACAAATAGGGTGTTCTGTGGTTTTGAATTTTGGGGGTATATAAGGAAGGTGGAAAGGGGAAAAGAAAAAAGAAAAACAGTAAGAGGTCAGCAAATTCTCCCCAACACTATAGAAATTAACCAAACCTTGGGGTGCCTGGGTGGCGCAGTCGGTTAAGCGTCCGACTTCAGCCAGGTCACGATCTCGCGGTTCGTGAGTTCGAGCCCCGCATCGGGCTCTGGGCTGATGGCTCAGAGCCTGGAGCCTGTTTCCGATTCTGTGTCTCCCTCTCTCTCTGCCCCTCCCCCATTCATGCTCTGTCTCTCTCTGTCCCAAAGAAAATAAATAAACGTTGAAAAAAAAAAATTAAAAAAAAAAAAAAGAAATTAACCAAACCTAGCTTCAAATATCTAAATTAAATGGCAAGGAGTGATAATCTTAGTATTAAAAGAAAAAGCATTTTAGGGGTACCTGGGTGGCTCAATCGGTTAAGCATCTGACTCTTAATCTTGGTTCAGGTCATGATCTCACAGTTGGAGCCCCATACGGGGCTCTGCACTGACAGTGAGGAGCCTGCTTGGTATTCTCTCTTCCTTCTCTCTCCTTCCCTATCCCACTCACACACACTCTCTCTCTGTCTCTCAATAAATAAATAAACTTAAAAAAAATTAGAAAAAACATTTTAAAATATAGTAAGAGTAAAGATATCATGTGCTTCCTGATAAAACGTGCTGAGAAAGACACATGACTTCACAGTGTTTCTAGCAAAATACATGATCACAAGGAAATATCAGACAAACCCAAATTAACTGTTCTGTATTCTTCAAAAATACATAAGGGGAAAAAAGCAAGGTACAGTGCTCCAGAGTAAAGAAGATTAAAGACACATGACAATGAAATGCAATGCATGTTCCAGAATTGGATGCAGGGCCAGAAAAAAAATAAACTTTTGTCTTTCACTATACAAGACATTATGAAGCAACTGGCAAAACACGAATAAGGTCTGTAGAGTAGAAATACTACTGTATCAATGTTAATCTCTAATTTTGCTAACTATAATGAGATTATAGAGAATATTCCTATTTGGGGGAAATACATATTGAAGTATTCAGGGGTAAAGGAGCATCATGTCTGCAACTTAATCTCAAATGACTCAGAAAAATAACAGAATGATAAAGCAGATGTAAAATATTACTATTTGATAAATCTGAGTGAAGGATCTATGAGAATCTATATACAATTTTTGCAAATTAAGTCTAAATCTATAATTTTTAACTTTTTATTTTGAAATATAGTAAAAAGATTATCCTCTGTCTCCTTGAAGGTAGATCTCCTGAGGTTACATTAAAAACATTTTAAAAATCATTCAAATATTACATGAGATCAATGAGACAGTGACTAGAAAGTTGTTTTAAGTAAATGTCTTTGATCTCTGGATAGATATTTTTAAAATATTATTTATAATAACACAAAAATGTCTTTTATGGGAGTAGGACTAAGTTACTAGCCAAAATGTATATTAATACAGATTTTTTGAAGTATATGTAAGTTTCATGGGGAGAAGGCATCAATTTGTCTTATTCACCTAAGCAGTACTTTAAACAGTTCTTGGCACATGGTAATAGTAATCAATAATAATTAGTATTTGAGTAATTAGTATGTCCTAGACACTAACCTAAGTGCTTTGTGTCCACTAACTCATTAAATCTTCACAGAGTCCAAGAAATATTTGTGAATGAATTAGTACTTTTTGCAGGATGACGATTACATTCAGTTCAGAAATCACGTTAACATCAGTTCCTAAAAATCACCAGGTTATGGAAACTTGTGCAATGAACACCACAGGACTCATAGGGAAAATGGGGTTAGAAGCAAAACATTCACATGCCTGGGTGGCTCAGTCAGTTGGGCACCTGACTCTTGATTTCAGCTCCGGTAGGGATCTCAGAGTTCATGGGTTCGAGCCTGACATCGGGCTCATCCCTGACAGCCCAGAGCCTGCTTGGGATTCTCTCTCTCTCTCCCTCTCCCCTGTCCTCTGCATCTCTCTCAAAAAAATAAACATTTTTTAAAAAGCACAATACTCAAAAAACTTCATCAATGACACATTTTTTAAAAGAAACCTGATTAAAATGATAGCACAATTTTACACAGTTTACACATTAAGTGATTAAGAAATACACAAATACAATAATAAATACAGCACTTTACCTTGAAAAAGACCTGAAGTTTGCTTGTGGAAGCACATCAGAAGGGCTGCAGCTCATGAATTACTGTGAAATGATGGAAGGAGGGTTATCTGAAATCGGATGGAAAACTGTAACAACAGATGTGGATGGGAGTGGCTCATAACACAAGGGGTGAACTAAGCTAGCCAACAGATGTTTGAGGTAAGAGGTATGTGCATGTATATGCATGTATTTAACACACTTCAGTTCAGCTGGGTGTAGTTCACTTAGAGAAAATTCTTTCCATAAAGGACCAGATAGAAACTATTTTAGGCTTTGTGGACCATTAGGTCTTTGTTGCAACTATTCCACTCTGAGATTGTGGTACAAAAGTAGCCACAGACAATATAAACAAATGGGCTTAAGTATGTTCCAAAAGAATTTTATTTACAAAAACAGGCCACTAGTTGGTGGTCATGATTTGCTGATCCCTGACCTTGCAGACAAAATCCTGCATAAGAAAATAAAAATTCTGTCTTATGCTCAAATTGTTACCTGATTTATCAACCTTGTTGAGACATACACACATTTTCAAAACAAGCATTATAGCAGAACTATATTTAGAATGCTATCAAATAAATCAAAATAAGAATATAATTCAAATAAGCAAAATACCAAATACAGTATTACATGAAAATAAATATTTTATTTTGGACTTTATAAATCAAGTATTACCCAAAAGTCAACTGAGCACTTTAAATGACCAAAATAAAGACAACTAAGGATAGATTTGAACAACCATAGTCAATCAAAATCTGTGCATTACATTCTATACAATCGTTAAGGAAAGTGGAAAATACTTTGACAGCTCTTTTGAACTGAAATTATCAGGCTCATTTACAATGGCACATGTGACTTTTCTAAGACCATCAAACCACAGAAGTTAACATACAAATTACACTAGAAGATGAATAAGTTTTGGACATGTAATATACAGCATGGTGACTAAAGTTAACTATACTGTATTATGTAATTGAAAGTTGCTAGAGAGTAGATCTTGAAAGTTCTCACCACCACAACAAAAAAATGGTTATGTACGGTGAAGGTGTTAACTAACCTTATTTTGAGGTAAACATTTCAAAATATATACAATTATCAAAACATCACATTGTACATCTTAAACTACACAATGTTACATATTAATTATATCTCAATAAATCTGGGGAAAAACATACTAATTGCACAAAAGTTATACAATATTTGTCCAGGAATTGAGTTAAAAATTCTAAGTTGACCTGCTTCTAAACAGAAAACACTAACATATACAACAATCCTTTGCTCAAGCTGCTATATCTCACATCTGGAATCTCCCCTAGTATTCTTTGTCAAAATTATCCATCCTCTCATCCTCCAAGGGCCAGATTCAAATGCTTTCTCTATAAAGCCTTCCCTGGACCTCATCAGAAATATCTTCCTACTCTGAACTTAGTTTTTACCAAATGCAGCATTTATCACTTTATATCCTACTTCAAAACTATTTGTGTATATGTCTTATTTCCTCTGCTATATGGAAAATAAGACTAACCTTTTAACCAAACTAATCTCTCTGCCTGGGCAGCCCTTTTTCACAGACAACCCTTAATTTCTAACTCATCTTTAAGACTCACTACAAATACCATTTCCTCTATAAATCCTAGATATCCCAAAAATGAGGCCTTCCTTCATTTCTGATACTCAGTAAAACCAATATACCCCCACTTTAGCACTGTTTTATACCTATTTACGTGATATCTCCCTCATTAGATTAAGAATTCCTGGGGCGCCTGGGTGGCGCAGTCGGTTAAGCGTCCGACTTCAGCCAGGTCACGATCTCGCGGTCCGTGAGTTCGAGCCCCGCGTCAGGCTCTGGGCTGATGGCTCAGAGCCTGGAGCCTGTTTCTGATTCTGTGTCTCCCTCTCTCTCTGCCCCTCCCCCGTTCATGCTCTGTCTCTCTCTGTCCCAAAAAAATAAATAAACGTTAAAAAAAAAAATTTAAAAAAATAAATAAATAAATAAATAAAAATAAATAAAAAAAAAAGAATTCCTTAAGGAGGTGGGAATTTTGTCTTACTAACTTTTGCATACCCTAGCACAGTGCCTGGCCCCTAGTTGATACTCAAATATTTGATCTACTAAGAAAGCATTCTCTCAAAATATGGACTATAAGATATAAACATGTGAACACCACTGCCATACCAATAATTTCTTAAACAAATATTGTATAGAACAGTTACCAAGAAAGCTGGACTACAGATACCAAGAATGGCTACTTCAAGCCAAAGCTGAAAGACAAAGTCTCAAGAGACATGATCTGAAAACAGTGGCTACAGCACCCAATTCACAGAACCTTTTCTCAGGGCAAAAAGCACAATTGGCCAAAACTAATAAAGGTCTTTTCAAAAGTATCATCCCCAATCATAAAAGGGCAGAAATATAATACACTGGATATAATAATCTTTCAAAATAGAACGTGTCCTGAGCAACAATAATTACTGACAAACTTCTCGGCAAAAAGTGTTTCCTTTCAATGTTCCAACAAATATATGTACATGACACCATTACAGATTTTATTATCAACAAAACACCTGTATCCTAACATGTAAGTTCTAAGGCAAAAAAAGATATGCATACATGGTAAAGAAACTTCCCTTCATCACTACCCTTCTTATCTCCCAAAGTAAGATAAAAAAAAAAATGACTGACATTCACATAAGCAGGAACATTTTTTTGTTTCTTTTTAAACTCTACACTCAATGTGGGGCTCGAACTCACAATCCCGAGATCAAGAGTCTCATGCTCGGGGCACCTGGGTGGCTCAGTCGGTTAAGGTCCGACTTTGGCTCAGGTCATGATCTCACAGTTGGCGAGTTTGGGCCCCACGCCATGGCGGGCTCTGTGCTGACAGCTCAGAGCCTGGAGCCTGCTTCGGATTCTCTGTCTCCCTCTCTCTCTGCCCCTCGCCCACTCACACTGACTAACTGACTGTCCCTCTCTTTCTCTCTCTCTCTCCCTCTCCCCCCTCCAAAAATAAAAATAAACACTAAAAAAAAAGAGTCTCATGCTCTACCAATTGAGCCAGCCAGGTGCCCCTTTTCTTTTAATAACCTTATAGAACATCTAGTACAGGTTCATTTTACAAATGACAAAACAGAAGCCTAGAAAGTATAAATTTTTCCAAGGTTCTACAATCAGTTAGGCAAAAAGATCTATACCTAGAAAACCTAGATTTGGCTCAGAGTTCAGTTTTCATTCCTAACACTAGTAGTTCTCAAACTTTTAATTTTAGGACCTCTATAGAGTCTCAACAGTTAAAAATTAACAAAGACCACACATAGCTTTAGTTTATTGCCTTTTAAGAACCAATGTTCTAACCATGTTACTTCCTCCAGAACAACTGCAGGCTTTATCAATATTTATTAAACTTATTCCCATTTTACAGATGGAAAAATGGAGGATAAATAGCTTGCATGTTAGCTATTAAGCCAATCATAAGACAAACATTAGCATACAGGTACAGAGAAATCCTACCTAGATGCTCCTTTTACTGTCCTATTACATCCAACATTCCTAAAAGAAGATCTAAACATCATTTTCAAACGGCTTAAACTGTTTGAACAGCGTTTGCCAAAGTTCAAGAAAACATTCCAGGTCTGGAGGAAAGGACTTCATGTAAATCCAAGAACTGTCTGATACAATCCATAAATGTATTCAGACTCCAAAAGTGAAACAGACACATAAATACACACACTTTCTTGCAGAAAATTGTTTCACACACCTGTATCTATATAGAAATTTAAGTACTACATTTATCTTATCTCTAGAAATACAATATATAACTGAAAGCTGATGGCCAACTATACCAAGGGTTGCCAGTAATGAGAACTGGCACGATCAAAATTAAAGTCACAAATGTCTTTCTTTTCATCCCAGTCAGCAACATAACCAAACAACTGGTATTTAAATGTTTTCAAAACCTTTTATAAAATGTGCATGTACTCCCCCTCCACAGCCTGGCTTAACACTTATCACTTGGTGGGAATGCAAATATTTCACAGATAACATTTTTCAAAAATTAAGTTAGTATGCAATTCATTGTGAATTACTGTCCTAAAAGATACTTCCTATGACATTTTCCCAGCATCTCTCCATTTCAACAACTTCTGCTTTTTAAAATTTAAGACCATGGGGGGGTGGCGGGGGGCTCAGGTGGTTGAGTATCCAACTCTTGATTTTGGCTCAGGTCATGATCTCACAGTTCATGAGATCAAGCCCCACTGTCAGTGCTGAGCCTACTTAGGATTCTCTCTCTCTGCCCTTCCCTTGCTCTCTCACACTCTCTCTCAAAATAAACAAATATTTAAAAATTAATTATTTTTTAAAAAATAGAATTTAAGACCATGGTGTGCTTGGCTGGCTCAGCTGGTGGAGCACGCGACTCTTGATCCTGAGTTCAAGCCCCACTCTAGGCATAGAGCTTACTTAAAAACAAATAAACTAAAAAATAAAATGAACTAAAATTTAAGACCAATAATGTTATACTGCTGTCAACTTTTCAAGTAATCAGCTGCCATAAGTATTAGAATGACAAGTTCCATCAAATCTCTAAGACCTTTATCCAAAAGTAAATTTCATCTGTCAATCAGAAGCTGATCTTTCATAATGACAAATATTTCAAGAAACAAACCGATCTCATTTAAAATAAAATACATAACAAAAAGCCCTTTAAAAACAATAACAAAACCTTTAAGGACTGAGACGCTGATTTTTCAGTGTATGATTCAGGTCATCAGTTTATTTTTGTTCCTTCTTGCCTTTCAGCTATTTTTTTTCACCACAGAATCATAGATAACGTCTTTTTTTATAAACACTAGTAAAAATTAGAACTAATCTTTGTTCCTACTTTAAATGCTCAACAAAAGTTCTAATAAAGGAAAAATCTGTGGAGGGGCACCTGGGTTACTCCATCGGTTAAGCGTCCAACTCTTGATTTCAGCTCAGGTCATGATCTCACAGTTCAAGAGTTCTAGCGCAGCCTGCATCAGGCTCCACTGTCAGTGTGGAGCCTGCTTGGGATTCTCTCTTCTACCTCTCTCTGTGCTCCTCCCCCATCTCTCTCAAAATAAATAATCTTTAAAAAGAAGAAAAAACTAATTTGGATGTAATTTTTTTTAAAAATAAAAGAAAAAAGAAAAATCTGGAACTATTATGTAAAATAAAACTAACAATTATGTATAAAATTGCTCATATTATTTCTATCTCACATTAGAAGAGAATCAAGAGTGATTCAGTATTTTGGGTTAAACTCAATCAAGCACTACCTGTCCGATTATCCTTTGACTATGATTATGACTTGGGATGAATGACACTTCAGCCTGAGACAGTTCTCAACACCCACTTAGAGCTCTTCCACAGTAAATAATCAGAAAGCATCATACATTTTTAAATTAACATTAATGTATGTGGTTCTTTACAAGGGGTTTTTCATGTAGCTCAGGACTCTCCTGGAATTCAATGTTTCAGTTATTCTCACTATCTCATCTGTACATAAAAGGCAAAATACTATTAACAGCTACAAACTTAAAGACCTACGACAAATGACCACAACAGCAGCTAAAATGAACTTCTTCCACTGTAATACTTGGGCTAAATTAAAACGATCATAATCACATTAGACATGGCAGGTCAAGGGGGCATTAATGCCTTGTGGTTAAGAAGGTAAGTTCTGGAGTCAAAACTAGGTTCAATTCTAGCTCCACCAATTACAAGCTGTATATCTTTAGTCAAGTTCTTTGATCTCCCTATGCCTCAGTTTCCTACTCTTCTGTAAAATAAGGAACACCAAGTACCTATCCCATAGGGTTGTTTTGAGAATTAAGATTATACAGATGAAGACAAACAATAAGCACTCAATTTTAGTTACAATTATTACTCTTACCACCAAGATCTACAAAAATTCAAGACAAGAGAAAAAAACTGACCCTGGCATAAAATGAATGAAGTCTCCTTTTATGAGACTTTCAGTAAAATACAGAGATTATATTTAATTATAAGGTATACCCTTCCTATATATGAACATGAGCACCTAATAACCAGCCAATAAGTTGTATTGGGTACCTCCTATGTACCCAATACCCTATAAATAAAGGTTTATTGTAGTTGGACCAATTAACACAAATTCAGAAACAGGCTAAAATCTTTACACAGCTAGGGATCTGATAAGAACTAAAGTGTATTTTTTTTTTCTCAAGTAAAGGAAAACATATTCTATCTACTGTGTGTTAATGTACAAAAATAGACAATATCACAGGCTCATTCCCAAATTCTACATGCTAGGTAAAGTGCTCTAAAAATGTATACCATCATAATACTCAAAGGCACATTTTGCCAATTACCAATGCAATTCTGATCCATGCCCCCTGTAGTTTATTTTGCCACTAGGCACCAAGAATATATTTAAGAACAGAAAAATTACTTAATTCATGAGGGATGAAAAGTCAGATGTCAAACAGCCTGCAAAGCAAGCCAGCCACCTGTGTAAAAGTGGTATACATGTCATATTAACAACCCATATTTTTAGACACTATCAAGAGGCAAATCAGAAGCACAAGAGAAAAACAAGCTCAAACTAATAAACATGCTTGATTGTTAAAAGGAGCCTGCCAGGCACAGTTTCCCTTGGAATAAATCTTACTTCCCATCAACCCACATTAACCTACTCCCCATTCCTCACGGAATAAATTTTTAAAACGTAGGGTCTAATTACTTTTGCTCGAAATTTGCCCAGAAAGTGGAGAAACATTTGAGGTCTGCCTTACCACTCATTAAAGCCGGACTTCACAAAAAGTATACTGAGGTCCTCTGGAAGCAAAACCCTGCGTTAGTATCCTCTTGCCTAGAGATAAATCCAAGGATACCCTTCAGGATCTGGAGTAGAGAAGGAATGTAAAAACCTAGCAAGACCCACCCGTTCACCCCCACAAAAAAGAGCTTGTCCCCAGGGGCTGCAGAAAAAAAAATTCCGCAAAGCCGGGGTATTTCCCGTATCCTGCTATCCAAATGCCACTAAGTCCTCCCAGAATCTCACATCCTCCCGCCCGCCCGCCCCTCCCCCTCTTCCCACTCCCCCCTCCTCCCAACCCCTCTCCTTCCCCACGCAGTTTCCAGGCCCAAAGATTAGGAAGAACGACCGGGATACCAAAACCCCCTCCGACTTAGGGGGCTCTCAATTCCACAAGCACCAAAGAACAAACTAGATGAGCCAACTAAGCTTCACCGGTTAGGGGTGGTAGAAGGAAGCGCTCAACACGCCAGGCCGCGCCCCCCCATCCCCACCCCCACCCTTACCCCCACCCCCACTCCCGGTTAGAAGCTACTGCCGAAACTCCGAAAACCTCCTCACCTGAAGAGAAAACGAGGTCTCTTTCCGCTAAGCGACACAAAGGCCTAACACACAAAGCTAAAGCATTCCCAAACACCCTGCTCAGAAGGCGCGTAGGCCCAGACCGCTAGGACCCGTGAGACGGGGTTGTATTTTACCTCATGGACTCAGCAGTCATGTTTTCGCTTCAACGCCTTGTAGCTTCAACGACCGTAGGGCGCCGCTTTGCGCTCTCCGGCGCCGGGTTACGACAGAAATGTAATGGACTCTTAGTCGTCACTATAGCTGGTGCTGGATCCTCCCCACAGCTCAGAGGCCGGTACCACTGCCCCCGCCGCAGGAGCCGCGGAAACAAAGCGACGCCGCCGCCGCCGCCATTTTGTTGGGCCGAGGCTCAGGCAGAAGAATTGGCGCGTCCTCCCTCTTCCTCTTTCCGTCTCCCATTGGCTACTCCCTCCGCAGCTCAAAATCTTATTGGCGACGGAAATTCACCTTCTTTGGGGGGCCTGTTGCTAAGGCGGCCTACGTCATTTGATCCACTCCACCTTCTCATAGGGGTTCCAATTCAGTCCTAATGACCTGAAAGCGCTAGTGACGTATTTTGACTTTATTCTGAAAATGCTTTTTGATCCATCCTGTTTTCTTTCACATATTGACAAAACAATAACAACTTACATTTACTGAGAGTTTACTATATACCAGCACTATACTAATCCTTTATTCGATTTATCTCATGCAATCCTTATTCTTTTTGAGGCAGACAGATGCTTGTTAACTACATTCTCCAGATGAGGAAACCAAAACACAGTCTCACGCTAGTGGAGCCAAGATTCAGACCAGACACCACACTCTTAACCTCTAAACTATACGACCATCCTATATATTTTCTTTCCCATATTCCAGGTTATGTTCAAGTTCTTTACTTTCCTACATGTTTTTTATATATTAATAAGCATGCCAGCATACTTACAACTATATACACAAGACGAACTTGAGATCTGCATACAATTCGTTCAATATTGAATAAACTGTAAACTGCCATACAGACAGACACACACACACATCGACCATTCTCCGAGTCTGATGTGATGTTTAACTCACCAACCAATCAAGGTCTATTTCCTCCTCATCACAGAGGTTTGGCTGGGTAATCGCTAAAACCCTTTCCAGACTTCATGTTCTGTAATTTAATTGTCCCCTGGTAATCTCTGCAAGTCACATATCAGTTCTCTGAAATTGAATAGTTTCTAATTTGATTTCCAAATTTATTCTAACATACATGTTTTATTTCATTTTATTTGCTTTTCTTGAAATTTGCAAGTGCTCCTGTTGTATTTGGGTGAAAGAGTTGCTGCTTTCTTCCGGAATTGGAAATAGTGAGCCTGTTTTAAATGGAACGCTTTGATAACTTGATAAGCACAGCAAATTTTTAACTAAGAAAAGTTTGGGTGAACCTGGCTGGCTCAGTCAGAAGAGTATGCACCTCTTGATCTCGGGGGTCATGAGTTCAAGCCCAATGTTGGGTGTAGAGATTACTTAAAAGAAAAAAGAGAGAAGTTTATACACATTTCAAGTCATCTTTTAAATATTCAAGGACTATTGCCAACTGTAGAAACCAGCCTTCTATATCTGGTCTACTAATTTTCTTCTTGTCTTCCGTATGATAAACATCACTTAAACATACAATTTACAGAAGTTATATTTTCCTCCTGGATAAATGCAGTTAATTTGAAAGGAGATACAAGACAGCACACAACTTAAAAAAAATGTTTATTTATTTTTGAGAGACAGAGCGTGAGTGAGGGAGGAGCAGTGAGGGAGGAGACACAGAATCTGAAGCAGGCTTTGGGCTCTGAGCTGTCAGCACAAGCCAGACACAGGACTCAAACTCACAAACACTAAGATCATAACCTGAGCTGAAGTCCGGCACTCAACCGAGACACCCAGGTGCCCCACACGACTTTTAACCTAGTTCTTGGTGATAAGACTTCTTAACACTAAGCATTTTAACATGACAAATTCCACAAACAGAGAAGCATCTTAATAACAAAATTATAATAACAGAAATTTTTAAATATATAACTCACTGTATTCGTGAATCATAAGAAAGAGCATTCCTCTATTATTAAAAGATGACTAACAAAGTTTCACTGTTATATTATAGTTGTATCACTGTTTTGTATCACTGTCAATAGCTGATTTTCAATGAGTTTCCTTCTACCATATTTTAGAATAAATTCACTCATTCAAATATCTCACATTTTTCATCAAATTGCCACAGAAATCAACATAGAACCTTTCCTTGGTGTGGTACCTGGCTGGCTCAGTCAGTAGAGACTGCAACTCTTGATCTCAGGGTTGTGGAATTGAGCCCCACATTGGGTGTAAAGATTACTTAAAAATAAAATCTTAAAAAAAACACCCTTCCTTGAACTCAACCATAAATGTGTAATTTGTGAATTTTCTTGAAAGACAAGGTATATTACCTTTAAGAGAGCAAGTTGGATAAGAAAATAGAGACTCTAATAATTTTTAATAAACACCATCACAAATTCTATTTTATGTCAAAATCAAAATGCTTTGGCAATATCAATTAAATTTTTAAGTACATATATCTTTTAATCCAGAAATTTAACTTCTAGGAATTTGACCAACAGATATACTCTACATGGGAAAAATGAGATATCCACAAAACTATTCACTGCAGCATTGTTTGTAACATCAAAACTTTGAAAATGACATTGATAGTCCTCAGTGGGGAACTAGTTAAATGAATTATGTCACCCATGCAACAGAATACCAAATAGCTCCTTAAAATAAAAAAATGTCAAAAATCAGTTGTGTTTCTACGCACTAAAAATAACCAATCTAAAAAGTAAAGTAATAAAGCAATCACATTTACTATGGCATCAAAAAGGATAAAATACTTAAAAATAAACTTAACCAAGTAGATGAAAGACTTGTACACTGAAATCTATGACACATTGCTAACAGAAATCAGAGAAAATACAAATGAATGGAAAGATATCTCATTCCCATGTATTTCTGGAAAACTTAATGTTTTTAAAATGTTTCTACTAGCCAAAGGGGCCTACAGATTCTTTAAATTCTCTGTCAAAATCCCAATGTCATTCTTTGAAGAATTAGACAAAAAAAAATCCAAAAAGTCACATGAAAGCTCAAGGGACCCTGAATAACCAACACAATCTTGAAAAAGAGAAGCAAAGTTGCAGAACACACATTTCATGATTTGAAAACATACTACAAACCAACAGTATTCAAGATAGTGTGGTATTGGCATAAAAGATAGATAAATAGATGATAGATAGATAGATAGATAGGTAGATAGATAGATAGATAGATAGATTCCAATATAACAGGACAAAAGGGCCCAGAAATAAACGCTTTCACATAAGGTCAAATGATTTTCAACAAGGTTGCCAAGACTACACAATGGGGAAAGGATAGTTTCTCCAAAAACTGGTGCTGGGAAAATTGGAAATCCACTTTCAAAACAGTGAAGTTGGACTTTTAACTCACAGCATATACAAAAAGTACCTAAAATGGATTCAAGACCTAAACCTATACAATTCCTACAAGAAAACATAGGGGAGAAACACTTTAGGACATTGGATTTGGCAATAGTTTCTTGGATGTGACACCAAAAGCATAAGCAACAAAAGTAAAATAGATAAATGAGACCATATCAAACTTGAAAATTTCTGCACATCAAAGAAGACTATAAACAGAGTGAAAAGGCAACCTATGGGGTAAGAGAAAATATTTACAAATTATATATTTGATAAGGGGTTAATATCCAGAATATATAAGGAACTTCTATGACTCAACAACAACAACAAATAACTTCATTAAAAAATGGGCAAAGTCAGTGACCACTCACAATGTGAATGCAATACATCAGTAAAGTACTGGGGTGCCTGGGTGGCTCAGCAGATTAAGTCAACTTCAGCACAGGTCATGATCTCACAGTTTGTGAGTTCAAGCCCCACATCAGACTCCACACTGACAGTGTGGAGCCTGCTTGGGATTCTCTCTCTCTCTCTCTCTGCCCTTCCCCCACTTGAGCTTTCTCTCGCTCTCAAAAATAAATAAATTTTTAAAAAGTACTACCTTGAGTTACAGAAATTTAGCATTTACATTGAATACTTTTTAAATCTCATTTTTTAAAATGTTTATTTTTTTTTTATTTTGAGAGAGTGAGAAAGTGTGCAAGAGTAAGTGGGGGAGGGGCAGAGAGAGGGGAAGAGAGAAAATCCCAAGCAGGGTCCTCACTGTCAGCACGGAGCCTGACTCCGGGCTCCATCTCACAAAATGTGAGATCATGACCTGAGCTGAAATCAAGAGTTGGACCACTCAACCAAGGGAACCACCCAGGTGCCCCTAAAATCTCATTTTAAAGAAAAGGTGCTATTAGGGCAAAAAAATGTTGGATGATACATCCAAAGGTATGAAGACTAGATATCTTCAGGTGATATGTCTGAGTGATTTGTTTCCTGTTTCTATTTTTCCATTTTCTCAAAATTTCCTACAATGACAATATACTATAAAGTTGATGTGAGAAAGTTAAATAATTTTAATTGTTGTAAGCAACAACAGAACTATCAATTTTCTGCCAGCAAATATGAATTCAAGTAACAATTATGCCAACATAAACCTTAGCTCAGTATTGTTTTAAAAAGTGCTTTCTCTGGGGCACCAGCGAGTCGGTTAAGCATACGACTCTTGACTTTGGCTCAAGTCATGATCTCATGGTTCGTGAGTTCAAGCCCTGCATCAGGCTCCTTGCTGACAGCCTGGAGCCTGCTTGGATTTCTCTCTCTCCCTCTCTCTCCGCCTGCTGCTTCCCCGCTCCGCACTCACATTCTCTCTCTCTCTCTCAAAATAAATAAACATTTAAAAAACTTTAATAAAAAAAGTACTCTCCCTCAATTCCAATCCTGTGGTTAAGCTTTCTGAGCTTTCTACCTTAAAACCTTAGTAGTGTGTTTTTCATAAATGCCCTTTATCAAATTGAGAAAGTTCCCTTCTGTAACTAGTTTTCAGCGTGTTTTTATCATATGGGTATTGAATTTTGTCAAATGCTTTTTCTGCATTTTCCTTCATTCTATTAATGTGGTATATTACATTGATTTAGTTTTGTATCACCACTGCATTTCTGGGATAAATCCCATTTGGTCATAGTGTATAATCCTTTTAATATGCTGCTGCATTTGATTTGATAGTATTTTGTTAAGGAGCTTTGCATATATATTTATAAAGAGTATTGTACTTATCTGTAGTTTTCTTTTTTTTGTGGTATCTTTCTCTGTGTTATCACAGTGATGGTGGCCTCATAGAATGAGTTAGGAA